TGACGTCACTTTTCCAATTGGCACGGCTTGTCTCGTCGCCAGAACTTCTTCTCAAAACTGCTACTAAGCCGTATATATTGACGTAGTGATTTATTTTCGGTTTTGTCAGTATATCTACCTCTCCGCACATATAAAATACAATTATGGAGACGTGTAATCTATAATCGGTTTTATCGATCATTTTCAAATCTTAAATATTATTATTATATTTTCAATCCGGATGATTTTATATATATATATATATATATATATATATCAGTTTATAACATACCCGGGAAATCAGCTGAATCGGATCGCTTCCATTATTCATATACCTAATAATAAACCATTTTGTGATTTCTTAATAGAGTCGCTACGTGTGAAAAAATAATTCCACTTTCTATTCGACGGCGGATCTTAACTCGACGATCGATATATTTTCTGTTAGTGCAGTAGCTAATATTTTTGAACGAATTTTACGTTATACAGTCTACAAAGTCCTTATCGGTATACCCCGAGGGCGTACCTACATCATATTTTTCGTCGGTCGCAGGTTATTCAAACTGTGGTGCCTGACTCTATATATTTCTCGACACTAACATTATCTCGTGATTATATAAATATACTATATTATATAAATTATGCAGTGTGTATTACGCGGAGGCGGAGCACATAATCATAGTTTTTGTTTTCGAAACTTTTATTTCCGCTCGAATATCTGCAAGTCGTCATCTTGGTTTACGCGCTCGCCGCCGCCGCGTGCACTGTAGCACACATCTATACACACAACACACAACGATATTAAAATATTCTATATACGACAATCTCGTTCCCGGACAAACTTTGAACAACTCTGAAATGTATAATAATATAATAGGGGCAGGTACTTATAGCGGTGCCGTCTACGACGACAGAACTATCGGTGAGACACTCCCCCCTCCCCCCCACGAGTCCCGGACCTGCACCACTGTATATATGGTGTAAGCGGCGCGTGTTTTGGGCGGACTCGTTTTTTACCCACATTTATTATAATACAATCAAACCACGAGTAATCCATTATACGCGACAAGAATCTAAAATGTTTTCTTAACGAGATATTCGCTTTCGAGTCGCCGAGCGTCCCCCCTCCTCCGTAAAAGTGCATTAGATAAGACGTGCATTATATCACTGTTTTTATCATCATTATTATTAGTATTTATACGCACACGCGCGTGGACTGCTGATAAATTATTTTAAAGCGTTCCGGCGTAAGACGTCTCTCGTTCTACATTATTTTTCCTCCCCCAAGTCAGCGTTATCGCGGCAGACGCACTTATCGGACTCTCTACATATTTATAGATATCCTCACGCGTACAGGTTTGTTATATTAAGTGTACGATTCAGGGATCGGAAGTTATAGCGTTCGTATTTATTCCTATCAGCGGCTAACCTTAAAAGCTAAGACAATCTAAGCAATTTTTGTATATACATTTTTTTTTAATGCTTCCTATGTTATTTATTTATACTTCTAAACGCTACAACTAGAGTATGATTATGAAATATTTCAAAGTAGATACTTTCACCCTTCTTAAAATATTTCAATAAAATATTGAAAAATATATTTTTAAATTTTGTTTTCTGGTATGTTTCATAAAATCATCACTTGATTTTCAAACTGATTAGTGATATAATTCTATATCATAAATTTGAAGATATACATTATGCGATAGATTTACATTTTTTTATGTAATGTTTCTATAACATTTAACTAAGTAAAGATGTTTACTGCATGTATCCCCTCCAATGGTTTTAAATTAAAATTTGGCTTTTACATAATTCTGTAAATAATATGTCACTGGCAAAATATCGAAAAATATAAAACATACTTAAAAATAAAATTATCTAAGCTAATTAAGCTGCAAAATTATATTGAATTTAATATTTTAAATGCATACGGACTTAGTGATAGGTAATTCATTTTATATTCATAAAACTCCCGTGCACCATCCGGTTATATGAGGGAAATTGCATGTGTGCGAATAGAGAACGATAAGATCGAATTAAAACGACAGCCAGCAAATGGTCGCCGTCGTTACGGTTATGGGAATGAGTTTACACCGTATAACGTGTACAAAACGTATGTATACATTTCGGGGCTATACCTCTTTAATTGCGGATGAGGACAAAGGGGAGTATACCGGAAAAACGCGTTTTCGAAAGTATCGTTTTCGGGGCATTATACGTATATAAGTATAATAATACGAGCACGCTTTTACCGTTACTTGCGGAAAATTGTAGCCGTACCACTCAGCCTTAGCTCTTCCAGCTGTTCCTGTATATAAATGGATGTGCAGAGTTTCGTTGATTCCATTTCAAACGAAATCCGACGAATTCACTCTCGCACAGTTGACTGGAGCTTCGTGCGGTGCGCTTTCCTCCGCTGTTATTGAATCCACTCACTTTCGCAAACGATTCCATTAATCATTATTCATGCTCTATCGACGAGTTGGCGTACGTTTTACAACAGTGTACACTTTATGTAATTCCCGTTCGAGCTAGGATCTCGGAGAGCCACCCGCGGTCTATCAATAATCAGTAGTCGCCCGCCATAACCACCACCACACCGATGGTCGGTCATTACTATACATACTCAAAACGCGGCGTCGTACGTAGAACTATATATACACGAATAAAATACGTTATGTTGTGTCTAAAACGTTTATCGCCTCAAAACTATTTACTAAAACTCCTGTTTTTTGTATGTATAAAATACATACAGTCACACAGGGAGAGAGTGAGAGAGAGAGAGAGAGTACCTATTGTATTGTATGTAACTTAACAATTATTTTACAGTATGTCAGTGCACTATTTGTTATTTTCTTTCTGGCTCTCGCGAATCGTAAACAAAACTTATTTACGCAGAATAATTTTTTTTTTTTTATGTTTTCGAATAATCTTATAGGAAAGACAGACATTATAAAATCGATTGAGAATATTTTGAAGACATGCCTAATCGAATCATCTAAATATTGTCTCACAACAATTTAAATATAATTTATATTTGCAAAATTTTATTTTTATTTTGAATTTCAAATATTAAAACAAATAAAAATAAAATACAAAACTGATATGTTATACCTTCAAAAATATTATGATTAATAATTTTTATAACAAGAAACTATACCTTAAGGTTACTCAAGAATCATAAAAACTATGTTTGCACGTTAGTCTGAGAGAAAAAACATACGCTGACATTATTTAAAAAAAATTTCAAAACATTACTTTATTCAATGTTTGTACAGTATTTTGTTTTTCAACTATYATATGATATAAAAACTAAATTTGCTAATAAAAGCTGTTATTTTTCATAAAATTAAATCTTACATCATGTATTAAGTAATAATAGTGATATATATTTAAATGTTATAGACTTATTTAATAATGAAAATTACGTTGTCCGACGAATTGAGATAATCATAAAGTTGTGTACATTTATCAATTCCGTAAACTTTATACACGCATTTTATGTTTATAAATTATAAAAGTAGGTAATGGTTATACGAATTAGTCAGCAAATAATGTGTTCTTTAAAGACATAAATTTGTATTTCAAAACTTTCAATAACTATGCAACACAAAGATAACAACGTACTTCAGATATTTATTTAAGTAAAATTTATTACATCTTAATATGCTACGGGTACTTTTTTCTCAGACTATGCATATATACATATTAATATATTATTTTAACTAGTATATATACATAAAGATTAATGGCATCGTTCACAAATATTATTTCAATAATGCAAATTTGTGTTTCATAATAATAATAATTTATTACATTCTATATATTTGTTTTTGATAATGATTTCTAATAAAAAAAAAAAAAAACATTGGCACGCCGATACCAATAGAAAATGGTTGTATATATTAACGCTTACTAATATTTAATCGATTTATACACCTTTTTTTAATAAATCTCTTCAAACACGACACGTGCAGTTGGTTGCAAACCAAGACTTTATTGGATGGTGGTCAAAAAAGTTTTCTCGATACGTGTACACGCATAAGTAGGTATCTACGATCTCTCTACCACTGTCTTTGAAATATTTTCCTTTTTTCATATCACTGTATGGTTTGCTTTTAACGGGTATATGTCAAGAGTGTCTATCAACAGACTTCGCAGAGTGCGCGTATAATCTACGATTTTTGTCAACAACAATGGACGTGTATACGCACACAGTTCGCTCTTTATACATTCTTTTATTTATTTTGTACCGCATTAATTTTGTACACGGTTAATGGAAAATCAAGTGTTCGACTATGTTATTACTACCAACGTAGCTGCTACCACTGCATAATACACTTTAGGCACTAGAAGAGTTGTTTCAGTAATTGTATCATCACTACTCGAGTGATAGAGGGGCTGTGGGAAAACGCACGTATACAAAATATATAAAAATGACAAATCTACTTGAGCTAAAAAACTCAATGGTCTTTGAACAACTGATAAACACTCGGTATGCGCTCGTACACAAACATTAATTATAATTTTTCGCCAAATAGTATTTTCACGATAAAAAAAATGTCGAGAAGTTACGAATTGCGTTGATGTAATAGTCATGTAAAAAAAAAAAAAAAAACAAAAAACGAAAACGTATATTATATAATAATGTTGAGTAGTGCTGCGCGTGTGGTTACTCGATTACAAAATAATAATAAAACAACTACCTCGAGTGCAAAATAAAACAATATATTATTAGGTATGTAGACATATTATACCCACGAATATACCTACACAGGCTGACCTATATATATATAATATTATATAAAACAAGGCGATTAATCTGTCACAACCAGAAAACTATAACGAACGACCGCCGGAAATTATCCCCCTCCCCACCCCCGTCACAAATCTAGATCCGCACAAATGATATCGGGTACCTGCGGAGCAATTATAGCGTCCAATCACTCCGTGCGCGTTTCTAATGATAAATCTGTACGACGAGCGCCACTTAATATCATCGTTTTTCTTCGTTCCAGGTTCGGATCGGTGCAAACGTCGGCCGTGGCGGTGGCCACACAGCTCGAGTTGTATGGCAACAGTTTCACGCGGGTGGCCAGCCGTGGGTTCGTGCTGCACAACTTTCACGTGTTGCTGGTGCACGGCAACACGTTCGAAGAGATCGAGGCCGAGGCGTTTTACGAGACGATCGCATCCAGCCCGGAAACGAGGTCCACCACGCAGGCGACGTTGCGCGTCTGCGACAACAGTTTCCTGCAGTCTTCGGCTAACGGAAAGTGGTCACCACCGATTCGGCTGCAGAGGGCCGCGTCCGAGACGAACATCACCGGGAACATGTTCGTCGGGCCGTGTGGCTGCGGCCCATGGCAATTCGTAGCCGTGGCCAACAGCACCGCGGCCGACGACAATGACGACGACGGCGACGATTACGGCGACACCGAGTTCACCGACCTCAACTATTGCCGGGTGAACGTGGTGGGAGCGGAGTGTGCCAACCTGACGGCCGTGGACGTTGACCGCATGCGAATTTCGGAGTTCGCGGTGGCGGCCGGATGCGACCAGGATGACGGGTCGACGTTCAACTGGTGTGTCCGGAACCGGTTGGCCGCGGTGAAAACTGTTGGCACTGGCCGTTTTCCACCGATCGACTTTCTGTCACCGACCGCGGAACGAGGAGTCATCACCACGGTGGTGCTGTTGGTGCTGTGCGGTTTCGGTGCAGTGTGCGCGGTAAGCGCCGTCACATGGCTCAACGCCCGAGGCTATTTCATAAAGCTCCGGTCACTGCTCACCCCGAATTCCCACGGTAGCGGTGGCGGCGCCGGTACGGCGTGCAGGACTATTTCAGCGCACTCGCTGTCCCGAATGTCCGTGCACGAGTACGCGGAACTGCAACGGCTCAAATTGGGCGGTGGCAGTTGTGGTAGCGACGTTGGCGCAGTGAGGGTGATCGTGTACCAAGACAAGGGCACGCAGACGGTTCCGGAAGAGCTGACGCACGAGATGTTGCAGAACTTGCGCGACAAACTGGACGACCCGAACGACTATGCCGAGGCGCGAGGCATAATCGAACACCTTTACGACCTGATCCGAGTAGAGGAGACTTGCTGCGGTGACAGCGGCGTCGGCGGCTGGTACTCGCCCGTCGGAGAAAGGCTGGATGACATGACGTCCACCGTCATGACCAAGGCGGTGACCGCGGACGACGGGCTGCCACGGGACGTCAAATCGGTTGGCACGGGTGCGCCATCCCTGGACAGACTACGGACGCCCAGGATCAATATGGCCGGCGCGGCAGGACAACACGCTCGCCGGCCGCAACCACCGCCGTCTCCGTCGCCGTCAGTCAACAGTGATTACGTGGACCCAGTGGACTTGTTGTACGGTGGTGTAGGTAATGTGCGCGACGACGAATCGTACACGGACATCTACTGCGAATTGACCGACTTGCGATCGACCGCGGAAGAACGTCCGCCGCCACCGGAACCGCCTCAGCAACCCCCGCCGGTGCCCGACAAACCTATTCCCGTTTGAAAGTCCATTGCTACCAATCACATTCTCGTCGGCATTCAACTACAAACCTATACTATTCCTATCGATCGATTTCGTCGGCTTCAGTCGTTTCTCGTTTTCGTATGGGCGATTTACATACGATAAAAATTATTTTGTATCATCGAATGGATGTTTTTTTTTTTTTTATAATTTTTCTTACCTAGCCAACCCCGCACAGTCGCCAAAATCCATCTGGCGAAATATATTAAAGAAAGATACTCGCCCCGAGAAATGCGTTATTTTGTACAAACCTATTATTATTAATATTATTGCTATGATTATTATTATTATTATTATTATCATTATTATTATTATAGCGTGTCCACAGTTTATATGTATATCTGTTTAAAATATTTACAATTACATCACGATATTTTATGTGATGCTTATTATTCTATCCTGTTTCAGTTTTTTTTTTTTTTTTTATTGTTGTTTTACGTGTCATGTATATAACTGAATGGTTATTTTTATTGTGAACTGTCTCTTATATATCCAAATACATGAGAGATTCTATATATTCTATATATATTTGTATATATTTTTTTTTAATTTCAAAATAATTACTATCATACGAGTAGTTAATCATAAAAAAATGCAAAATAGTATCATTCTTAAACGTTTAAATTAAATTATTAAAAATTTCCCATACCCCCACTTTAATCACCCAATACCACAATATTGTCCAGTTCACGATAAAAAGTAATTCTTAATAATATATTATATAAATAATAAATGTGTACATACATTAAATTTAATACACATAACTTACAAACAATATAATTTAAAAGATATAAATGAAATTATAAAAATGTATAAAACAATGATTGTGATTTATTTTTAATGAAAATAAAAAAAAAATATGAAAAATGAAGAAATAATGTTGTGTATTTGTTTTCTCAACACAGACAATGACGTTTCGAGTCGTTCTCGCGCGAGCGAGTTTAATTAAAACCGGGTTTGACAGGACCAAGTGACGTTCATTAAAAAGCACTTCCCAAAAACGAGACTGGCAACAGTCACACAGCTGCCGTTTGGATAATGCACGACACGCCGGATGCGTTGGACTTAAGGAAAATAAGAAATACGAAGTGCGAAACAGGCACGGACAAGACAATATTATATACAGTCGGAGAAACAGAGCAGTTTAATATCGTAATGTCGTATGAACCAAATACAATAAAGTATTAGGTTGGAGCTAACCAAAGGCCACGATGTGCTACTACTTAGCAAAACTATCTGCTTTAAATTTTTTTTTTTTTTAATGGCGAGAGTGACTTAATTTCGATCCCAAAGGTTCAAGAGCATTATAATTATTGATATACACATCGCAAATAATTTGTATAGTGCAACACTCTGCGCATCGAAACTTATGACGGATCGCTCTGTATATTAAATTATGGTGATTTTGTGTAAGAAATGCAGGTAACAACAATAAGAGCAGACTTTCACTACTCTTGACACTTTGTTACAGAAAAGCGTCCAAATAAAGTGACAAAAGGAAAACGCGCATTTCGAATACATAAAATATTACGTACCTTATAATATGAAACCTATTTAAAGCACAATAACGTATATTACAAGCTTATTGTATACAAATATCTTTCGGATCAACCCTACGCACCCACCTACCAATCTTACGGGTAAGCGCAAAATAATAATTTTTGAATTCCTGTTCGACATAATTCAAATGATATACGTGTGCAATATACATCATACAAGGTTATTTTGAAAAACAGCAAAATATGTTGTTTGAAGTATATAATACATCTCTGTGTGTGTGTGTGTGTGTGTGTGTGTGTGTGTGTGT